TTGAGTTCACTTTTGCACATGATTCTGTTTTTATTCACTTTATGAGTTTTGTGGTGTGTGTATATATACATATGTACATATATTAAGTGCATCTTATGTGTCTATATATGTTTGTTAAAACACGCACTAAGATTAGTCAATAGGATTGTTTTTTCACCATCACTATAGGAGTTTTTGTGTGTTTATAGACACGAGGTTATTGAATAGATATGTTTATTCACTTATAATTGAGGGGATATATATATTTTTTATATTGTTGCATTTTGATTTGCTAGTGATTAGCGCCACATTTTTTTCACATTTTACTCAAGCAGCCTTGCTCCTGTGAATGCAGCCAGGTTTTTTTTTTTTTTTTTTTTACCTTAATGCATAGAATGCTTTAAGGTAAAAAACCTTCAGCCTTTAGAACCATCCTAAGCTTTTTGTTTTCCTGCATGATGGTGGTCAGGCAATTTGAGATAGATTCAGAGTGAAATAATGTCAAAAGCTCCTGCACATGGGTGTGGAAGGCTAGGAACAGAAATATTCGGTGGAACTCAGATGTGTGCGAAACTCCAACGGGTGGGCCAAGCCATGCAGCTCTCATACAAGACAGGGGGAGTCCAGATGCAACTGCAGAAGGAATAAAACAAGAGCGCACTGGCCTAGTGTATTATCCCAGATAATTGTTTATTAAAATGTGGATAAAATAATATACTCACAAACAAGTGGTGACAGATCACAAATAGATACAGTCACAAGATGCATTAATCCACAATGAGTCAAAGACCCTGACGTCAATGAAGTGCCATCTAGGGGTCAAATCCGGCTGACGTGTTTTGAGGGTAACCCTCTTCCTCCGAGCCCCTGGGCCAGTGCACTCTTGTTTTATTCCTTCTGCGGTTTGAGATAGATTCCCTGCTTTTCTAAGTTTAATCACATACAGCTATTTTCTTAGTCTAGTAATCAATCATTGACTGAAAGTTACATGAATAATTTTAGAGCATCTCAAGCAAAACAAGACTGATATTCAATGTAAGCAATAGAATAACATAGGTTCCCCAGGATTTGTTACAGCTTTGACAACTTGTTGCAGTTACTGCACTTTACTATTATTTAAAAACAAAAATGGTACATACTGGGATTTCCCTTTAATGGGGTGTCCACATGACCTGAAAAATGCATGAGCATCCTGGATATGACAATTTAAAGGAGTTGGGAAAAACAAAATCCTGATTGTTTCCATTATCTCTGCTCAAAAACACATAATCCTATAATGCTCAACTCCAGGCCACTGCAATACTGTCTCTGCACCCTCCACCTCTGGGTGTCGACTCTGTACAGGTCTGTGCCCACCAGCCAATAAACTCCAAAAATTTACATGCACTACAGGCCAGTATCCTCCAGAGGGAGCTCTTGCAGATGATGCAACTTTTTGAAACGATTCAGTGGGGGACATTGACATGCACTGCATGTATCTTTTTGGACTTTTTGACTTATCCAGGGATGAGGTGCTCTTTTGTTACCTGTTCTCATCCCTACTGCAGTCAAATCTTTGATTTAGGGTTAGGATATCTTTAAGTTGCCACTAAGACTGGGTTCGCACAGGAGCGGTGTGGGAAACCGCATGTGATTCGGATAGGAATCGCACCACATTCCCTGTTCGAATCGATTCTTTGCAGTATGATTTAAGCCTATTCGTTTTGTATGGGCTCACCATACCTGCACGAAAAAGATGCAGGCATCTTTTTTTTTTTTTTTTTTTTTTTTTTTTTTTTTTTGCCGGACCAAAATTGGATCGCATGGGTGTTCATCACACAGCTTTTTTAGAGCATATGAACTGCATATGAACCAAAGCTGATGAGATGCGATTGTATAACAGTTTGTGTCCTTTCAGGGCCGGTTCACACCATGCCCACATCTAAATTGCACAGGGTCACACTGTATGCCATTCACACTGCATGCAAAACACACTACATCTGCAACAGTTGTCAATAAACAGTTAACACCCCCCCAAATGCAGGTTGCAAACGTGGTTCATTTTCCGACACCAGATTGCATGATACTTTTGAAGTATGTATTTGGTTGTAGTGCATGCAGATGCAGCCATGGTATGTACCGGCCCTGACACCCATTGCTTGAAGATAAATGGGAACAAATAAACTGCTTAGCAACATTTTACACATTCTTCACTATAGCAGAAAGTGTTTTTATTACTGTCTTTATTCTTTGAATTTCCCCATACTTCCTGTTATGTTTGTTAATTATCAAATAATGAGGATGTGTGGAGATTTTTCTTTTTTTACTGTTCTGTCAAATACAGTATATAAGGAGGAATCTCCCAAGTGGGGATACGGGCAGCAATACATCCTTTACAAAGTTCTAACCCTTCCACACTCAATCTACAACAAAAAGAATAAGTTTTGACTGTAGTTTGGCTTTAATGAATTGATAGGCTGCATTGGCCTTCACCGTCACAACAGGTTACAGGTCCTCTTTATTCTTTAAAGCTGCTTAGTCCTGACATGTAAAATATTAGTCATACCATTTTCTCTGTGCAGACAGCTGAGATGTTTAGAGCTCAGCAGGGGTCTGAGAGTAATAATCCGGCAAAGATCTGCAAAGTCAGTCTAAGATAACATTTTCTTCCAGCTCTCACTACTCAAAAGTGAGTGTTGTAGGGTGGGGGTAGGATAGATATATATTCGGGTAAAATCAATGATATTATGGTTAAAAGCACAGCAATACCACACCTGTCAGACAAGCTGTAATTTTGAAGCATACCCATCTATTTGCTGTTTGATGGAAACCGGATAACACATTTCCCTATAAATCATTTCTGCCATCCCGAATAGGTGGTGACATTGGGAGCAGTGAGCTGTATGTGCGTGGAATGATCATCACATTGGCCTGTAATGCAGATTATACGGGGACATTAGCAGGTGTAGATGTGTGGGGGGATTACGCACAACGGCCATTTAAGTGATATCTGCAAACACAGCATGGATCACTTCTACAGTGCAATTCACTTTACATAAGGACATGGTCAGCCCAAGTTTATTTGTGGACTACGGAGATGTCCTAAAAGGGGTTTCTACATTGCCAGTTGATTCATACAATCTAAATAACTAAAGCATATCTAAAGCCAAAACTTGGTTTTGAACAGACATTGTGGTTATTATTGCTGCTCATGTGCCCACTTTGTGACATTAAAGTAATGGGAAATCTATCCCCAGCGGGAGCACAGCAGAAAAAACTGAATGGTCTTTACCCCTTTCAGGCTTAGTCCAAAACTTTACAATTGAATACACACTTTTGATCTTGCTTTTTGCAGCTTGTTTATGATGTGCTTCATGATATGTTGCTGTGGAAAAATAATGATTTTTTTTTTTTTTTGGTCGACGTGCAGTATGTCAGCATGTAGGTAGGTGCAGTTAGCTATTTTGCCACTAGGTGGCCCTTTACCAGAATAGTGTCTGGTTACAGCAGACAATGTCAGGTGCTACGCCCCTTTTTGGTAGAGTACTCCTGCAGTGATGTCAGGGGGGAGTCAGCACCCATATTTAAGGCAGGTAGGGAGGAGCATATTATTATTATTATTATACAGTATTTATATAGTGCCAAAAAGTTTGCTCAGCGCTGTACAATATAGTGGGGGACAGTACATGAGACAATACAGTAACAAAACAATACACGAGGGGTTCGAGGGCCCTGCTCTTTCGAGCTTACAATCTCGGAGGGTGGCGATAGTGGTACAGGAGGAAGTGGCTGTGGGGGATGGAGTGGTAGGAGGAGTGGAGGAGATCGGCTGTTAGGTGAGGGTGGGGTAGGCTTCCCTGAAGAGATGGGTTTTCAGGGTGCGCCTAAAGGTGAGGAGGGTAGGTGACAGTCTGATGGATTGGGGTAGTGAGTTCCAGAAGATGGGGGAAGTCCTGGAGAAGTCCTGCAGTTGAGCGTGGGAGGAGGAGACGAGGGAGCTAGAAAGTAGGAGGTCTTTTGAGGAGCGAAGAGTACGGGTTGGGTGGTATTTGGGTATCAGGTCGGTGAGGTAGTTTGGGGCAGTGTTATGAATGGCTTTGTACATCAATCTTAGTAGTTTGAATTTAATGCGTTGGACAATCGGAAGCCAATGCACACATGTGGGGCATGGGAGCCAAACACCCCACAACTATGTGGATGTAACCATTACACATAGGCCCTGCACAGGGCAGGAGGCTGGGAGGAGTGGGCCTCTACTCAGGGGGAGCCATCTGTAGTCTGTCTCTTCTGGAGGTAGGGGCTAGGGCAGATTGCAGAAGGCCATTTTAGGCCAGACTGTGAGATTCTTTTGTGAGGCTGCTTCCCTGGATGGTCCCCAGGAGAAATGTGTCTAGCGTAGAGGTGACTACAGAGAACACATTCCAGTGAGTACTGATGACCCTGGGAGGAAGAGAGACTGGGAGATGGCTGCTAGATGTGCTGCATGTGCTTTCACTATGGCAGATCATCCATTAAATTTGACACTGTCATGTCAAGTGACTCCAGATTGTATGTCATTGTGATGTGACTATACAGTATTGTCATTTCCAGAGTTCCGTCAGTAAAGTGCAATGAAACTACTTCTATGTGTGGACATTCCTTCTTTTGGCGATTTAAGCATCAATAGCCGGGAATGTCATGTGGAGGCCTCTTGCATGGAGTAGGGCACAATCTCACAAGATGTGGAGTGAGATTTGGCGATGTCACTATTGCGCTGCTCACTTTTTATCTTTCTGCACATAAAGCTGTACTTGAGGACCTGCATCTCTCAGCTTCTGCTTCATTTTGTGGATCTGTTTGGGCGTCCTCCTTTTCTCCTTCTACTCTTGATCATTATCCCACATGTCCTCAGACCACCAGCCATCAGGGGGCAGTTCTGACATGAGGAAGCAAGGCTCTGCTTCTTTACCATGATGGCCAACTCCATACAACAAGGCATGATAAACCAGCAATCCTAGTGATTGCTCCTTTTACCCTCTGATCTGTTTTTTTGGGGAGTTTTCTCCCAATATACGTGTATATTGGTTTACGTGAAAGTTATAGCGTCTACAAATGGCGGTGTGTGTGTGTGTGTGTGTGTGTGTATGTGTGTGTGTATATATATATATATATATATATATATATATATATATATATATATACATTATAATATTTTTGTTTGTTTTATACTAGTAATGGCGGCGAGTGGCGACTTACAGCGGGACTGCAGCAGGCATTCTGAGACTGACACTGGCTGTGAACTGACTAAACGCCACTGACATCTCCGATGACACTAATACAGTGATCAGTGCTAATAAAAAGCACTGGCACTGTACTAATGACACTGGGCAGGAAGGGGTTAACATCTGGGACAATCAAAGGGTTAACTGTGTGGGTTTTGTGCTTACTGTGTGGTGTTTTACTAGGGGATGTGCTGCTTTCTATCTCACTGCTTTGCAGAGGCAGAAGCTACACACAAGAGAGCAGAGATTGAAGCTTAGGAGAAACAATGTGAGCATGCTTACAGCCATGGCAAGGTTAAAGGTTTTAGAACAAGCTGCTAACAAAAGTGAAGGTGGTAACAGCAGCAGACACTTGGTTGTGTTTGTATTTTTCTTAATCCTCACACACTCTCCCAAAACTTCAGCTTCAAGCCACAGCAGCTGTACATCTCATCAAGGCCAGTACACCGTACCTACCACCTCTCAAGCCAATCTGCCTACTCATCCCTCAGCCCACCAGGCCTTTGCACCACAGTAAACTGTATACACCAGCATACAGATAACACATCATACCAGTATACTGTGCCACAACTGCAACCCAATACTGCAATCAACTCAACTCAAAGTCCGTGTCAGGTATGAATGCCTTTGCACCGCCATACCTTTTTAAAGTGGTTCAATCTCAGCACACCAGACAATGTAATTAACCTTGTTCCACATCAAGCTATGCACCCAAAGTCTGATGACATGTCACTGTTTGTTAAATACATGCTTTGCAAAGTGCTCACCAGGACAGGTCTCTGACAAACCTGAAAACTACAGAAGATGGAGATCCACATTCAAAGCCACCATCAGTGAAATAGATATCACAACTACAGAGGAACTAGGTCTGCTTATCAGGTGGCTAGGTCTGATGAACAAATCAAAAGACTCAAAGCTGTTCACATTGACAACCTTGCCACAGGTCCTAAAGCTGCTTGAGACAGACTTGAACCTACCTTCATCAGTCCAGAAGCCTCAGTTACCTAGATACCGCTCATTGGGCTAACCCAATAGTCTCCAGGTTGCTCTATGGTATACAGGAAAAATGGGCATCACTTGGATCAAGGTACAAGGAAGAAAATAAAGTTTCCTTTTCTCAGTTTTCCTCCTGTTTATTAGGAGAATTGCAGATGCTAAGAATGATTTATGTTTCTCCTTTGGGAAATTCAGCCCCTCGGTCCACCTTCTCAAAGGCCTGCAAACACACATTCCACTTAGAGACCGCAAAAGATCCAGTGCCTATGAAAAGGACTGATATTGTACTTGAAGCTACTTATAAGAATGAACAGAACAAGGGAAAAGAACACCCAAATTGCTAATGTCCCATACCTAACAAACCCCACCCGCTTAGGAAGTGAATCAGCTTCAGAAAGAATCCCTTGCAAGAACACAAACCGCTTTTAAATAAACTTGGGATTTCCTTCAAATACTGTGCAGTCTGCCCCTTCTCCTCTGACCTCTGACATCAACAAAGCATTTTCGTCCACACAACTGCCGCTCACTGGATACTTTCTCTTTTTGGGCATTCTCCGTAAACCCTAGAAATGGTTGTGCATGAAAATCCCAGTAGATCAGCAGTTTTTTTACATGCTCAGACCAGCTCGTCTGGCATCACAACCATGCCACGTTCAAAATCACTTAAATCCCCTTTCTTCCTCATTCTGATGCTTGGTTTAATCTTCAGCAAGTCGTCTTCACCAATGTTTAGATGCCTAAATGCATTGGGTTACTGCCCTGTAATTAGCTGATTAGCAATTTGTGTTACCAAGCAATTGAAACAGGTGTACCTAATAAAGTGTAGAGAGTGTATCTCCTGCCAAACAGGTCATATCACTTGTTTTCAAACAGTGCCCACATAACTACCATGTCAGAGAAAGACTTTGCAGTATAGGCACGAAACACTCGGAGCCAAAAAGCGCTCAGTTCACATCTGGAACATGCTTACAGGGGAGCAGAGCATAGGGCTTATATTTCCAGTATACTGCTGCTCTTTCACTGTCCAATCATAGGCTGACATAGTCTTCAGAGTCATTCAGGAATTGTTTGTGCTGTCTGACAGACATATGTGAAACAGAATATAGACTGGACAGAATTATACATTTTTTTGGAACAGGGGTAAGCAAATGTGGACCTCTCAGCTGTTGTGAAACTACTAATTCCATTATGCCTCTAAATCATGTTTGTGACTGTGCCTTCACAATGAGACTTGTAGTTCTGCAACAGTTGAAGGGCAGAAGTTGCCATCCCTGTTTTAGGAGCTGAAAAAATGATCAGATATGCATTTCAACTATATGTTTAGCTGTTTGCCTGGAGTTAAGGTCTAAAATGTAACAGAAATAAGCACTTCTGACATCCTCTGTAGCTGGCCGAAGTGCTGCTAGGAGGACGCCCATAAATGGTTAAGAAACATTTCCTAGAAAACTTTGCCAAGGGTACTCTTTAGGGCAGTGGTACCCAACTGACAACTGGACGATTGCCCACTCCTGCAATTTCTGATAGAATTAGCTGATGATCTTGTGTTTTTGGTACATTTAGAGCCAGTTTGGCACCCCTGTATTTTTTCTCCTAACTCAATCTGCTTTTTTCTCCTGCTTTCATGCTGTTCCACTTCTCACCCTCCATGGATTAACATATGCTTGCTATATATTTTTTTTTTTTAGTTACAGTGTTGTTAGAAAATATTTTTCTACTGTCTCAGTGCTTTTCTACCATACTTTTCCCCAGACCCATACTGTTATCTCCTGCCAGTCTCGAGTTTTAGTTTCTAGGCGGCAGTAGAATGCGTGTGAACACAGCTGGGTGGCTTTCTAAATGAGAACCCTGCTGCTAGAAAGAAGACCACCGTAATGTATAGAGGAAATGAAGGCTCACATCTCTGCTTCCAGCATTTAATTCTTATGGAAGTCACTGATAGGAAAGATAGGAAAGGTACAGGCAGTAGGGACTGCACCTTTCTGCTCATATCACAGATGAAAACCATTTTTCTTGGTATTTTAACTTAACCTGCCATATAATCATTTTCCATGGCTGATGTCCTAACAGTGTCAGATGTCAGACCATTTTCTTAAAAGAAAAAAAAAACTCTGTGGAAAATTTAAGTTTCATACCCAGCATTCCCCTATCATAAAATGATCATAATGTCTCCATTTTCTTTAAAAGTACCCATAGCTGTGTAAAATCAGATATCTGGCACTGCATTTTCATTTCATGTAGAAAGAAAGAAGAATGTCAACAAACATTTAGCATAGTAAAATTTGTATTGGCAGAATTTTCTAGGTCTCCAATTATAGTGTTAAGAATTCTGTCTGTTCTGTTCAACATATTAGCCAATGGGTTGATGGATGCTGGAGGTCATTCAACCCATAAGACTGGCAGCATTCTGTAGTATAAGTGGTATTGAAGAGAACAGCTCCATACTGAAATGACTATTGCAGGTAGAGCTATTTTTTTTATTTTTATACCCTTCTGGGCCTCACTTTTTCTTTAAAGGTGGAGTTGGGCTTTAAACCTGTAGTTCGCAAGATCTAGATCACCACAGTTGCCACTGTTTGTTCCAGAAGTGCCCATTTGACAGCATCTGCTCGTCTTTTGTTTAGGATGAAGAAATATCATCAGTCTTTCTTGGTGCACTTGCTGCTGTTCCTTGCCCACATGTCTACAATTTAGTTGTTACTGTAGAACAAGATAGAGTGTAACAGGAATCTGCTTTATGGCCTTGGTTGTGGAAATAAAGCATTTTCACGTTTTCTTCCAGCGCGTTTGCTCTCATCTTGAAAATGTGACCCTTGTTACAGCAATTCCTTCTCTTTCCTCGGGAACATTCTTCCCACGTGTGCCCTATGTTTAAGGTACTTACTTTTTTTTTTTTCTTGGTCTAAGCGCTGTTTTTTTTTACGGAGAGGCTTTTGGGAATTAACCTTCTCTCTTTATCTGTGCACACAGAGCCAATGTATCAAAACAGATCTCCTCTTGCTCTTTATATATATTTTCCTCAACTATCGTAGCGATTACTTCATTGTGCATCAAGGTAAGCACAGCTAGAAGGAGAGCGGAAAGGTCCAGCTCGCTTAAAATCTTTGCAAGGAGTTCATACCAGACCAGACTGTCTGGCTTTTAAGTTGGAGCCTCTAAATTTAACCAAATCAAGCTTTTCTTAGCAATGCAGTGCTGTCAATTCTAATCAAAAGTTCAGTTGAAGTAATTCAAATCTAATTGATTATCATATGGCTGGACAAACCTTGGTTTCCCAGGCAGCTGAAAAAAGTCCCTTTGCTACCAGGTCATTCTGCCCATTGATGTTCCTAGGCCTATACACCTGGGTTTTGGGCCAGCAACATCATTATCATTTGTGGTATAGGGTTCATGGTTACTGTTGTGCCTTAAAGAAGAATCAAACTGTCCATAGCAAGTTCTAATGTTTTGATTCCTTCACATGTGCGTCTGAAGGATTTCCGAAACACGTCGAGCTGACATTTGAATAATGTTTGGAATCTATACATGTTGTGGAGAGTATTTTTGTTTTGTTTTTGTAGGTTCTAAATGGAATTTAATAAAGTTGTTTTGGTGATACTCAGTCTTTTTGTATATATGTCCAGATAAAGTCCTATGACTATAATATGATGTTACAGTATATATGATGTTTAGGGACATGGACCTATAGCACACAGTCTGAGCTTTTATTTGCATATAGGTTTACTTCAGACTCCAGCTTATGGATTCTTCTTAAAGATGTTGTACCTAAATCAATGGATACTAGTCAGTTATACACACAGCTGAGGGTAAATGTCTAATCATTCATTCGATATGTACATAATAGGACTGTATTATGTGTAAGTATGGGCTGCTCGGTGCTTGGAATGTACAAAAGTGTTGCCATGGCATGCAAATGGTGTGTCTGTGTAAAATATATATATACACACACACTATATTGGCAAAAGTACTGGAACGCCTGCCTTTACACGCACCTGAACTTTAATGGCATCCCAGTCTTAGTCCGTAGGGTTCAATATTGAGTTGGCCCACCCTTTGCAGCTACAACAGCTTCAACTCTTCTGGGAAGGCTGTCCACAAGGTTTAGGAGTGTGTCTATGGGAATGTTTGACCATTCTT